CCGGTGGTGGGCAAGCAATTTGACCATTTGGGGTCAAATGGATTAATAAATAATGTCATAATTAAATAATAAAAAATAAAATAAATAATTATGAAATGTTAGAAGTATTTTTATTAATTATGAAAATGGAAAGCCAATTTCAAAATCTACATAGAAATTAAATGATGTCAGAGTCAAATAATAAAATTTTTAATGATAGAAAATACAAAGAATCACAAAAATAAGAAAAAAGATAAGAGAAAATTTTGGACACACATCTAATGTTATATATTTATAAAAAATAAAATATTGGGTACATCTCTAATATTGTACATTCATTATATTGAACAAAAATAAGTTTTATACATAAGAAATAATTTTATCAATGATGGAAATGTAATGCAAAATTTAATGTCAACATAGAAATCAACAATTTTTATTTTTAGATGGTGGGTTAGTGATTTGAGTAAAATGATACCATAAACAAACAAAAATTAAGTGTGATAAGTAAAAAATATTTTATATAATGTAAATGAAATATTTAATTTAAAGGGAAAATTATAGTCAAAGTCGGTTGTACATTTAAAATTAGGTTGTAGGTTGGTTCAAAAACCAACCAAACTCTAAAAACCGGCTCTACATTTCAAATTATAAAAACCTCCGCCACGTCACCAGAGGGTTATGTGGTTGTTGCCAACATGGGACTCTTATTCCATGTTGGACATAGCAGAAAACCTATATTGAAAATAGGTTTTCAGTTTCTCTCCCACTCCCTCTGTCTCTCGATCTCCCTCCCTTCTCTCATTCTCACAGTCATCTCTCGATCTCCCGCTCCCTCGATCTCTCACACTCTCTTTGCTTTGGTTTGTAGCAAAGTCAAAACCTCTCTCTATTGTTCTCCCTCAATCTTTCTCATTCTTCCCCCTCACTCTCCCTCTCAGTCAAAATCTCATTCTCCCTCAATCCCTATCGTTCTCCAATTGGTGTAAATTTCATAACCAAGAGTTTCTTGTGAATTTTATCAAATTGGTGTAATAATTTTTAAACCATACCAAATTGGTCTTATGTTCTTTTATACGATCTGATTAATACCATATAAGTGTGTAAGAAAATAAGAAAATAAAAAAATGAGAGATGGAGAGGGAGAACGATAAAAATTAAGGGAAAAGGAGAAATTGACCGAGAAAGAGAATGAGAGAGATTGAGGGAGAACGATAGGTAGAGAGAGAGAACAAGAGAAATTGATGATAGAAAACGTAAATACAGAAATCAAAATCCATTTTTATTTATTTTCAAATCACATAGTCGTTGAGCAAATAAAGATGACTGTAAGTGAAAGAGAGAGAGAGAGAGAGAGAGGGAGAGAGAGAAAGAGAGAGAGAGAGAAAGAGAGAGAGAGAAACTAAAAACTATATTTTTTTTTTCCAATCACCCAACATTAGAGGGCAACAATATAAGCTTTTTATTGTGTCCAATATGGATTAAGGGTCCCATGTTGGAAATAGCCACATAACCCTCTGATGACATGGTGAGGGTTTTTATAACTTGAAATGTAGAGCTATTTGTTAGAGTTTTGTTGGTTTATGGACCAACTTGTAACCAAATTTTAAATGTACAGCCGACTCCGACTATAATTTTTCCTAATTTAAAACTAATCCAAAAGCAATGTTATTTCTTATCTAGATGGTGGGTCAATGATCTAACTTTTTAAAAAAACATATGATGTCATAATTTAATAATAAATATTTAAGTTTATTTTTGATCATATTGTTACTTTTTTTTTAAATTTCAATTTCTATCTTAACTTTGATATATCTAAAATTCAAGTAATTATATGAAAAAAATTCTCACGTGCAACGAATGTGCTTAATTCTAGGTACGTTTTGATTTTTATTGACCAAGATACCCTTGTTCTTTTTTAGATTTATGTGAGGCCTCGAGTAAGTGATACCATCTCATAAGTGGGTCCCACCTGGGGGAAAAGTTGCCAACACTTGATAAGACAAAATTGCCCCTTTTAATAATAGTTTTTTATGGCCAAAACGGTCATTATCTTATTTACCTGAAAAATAAAAGAACATGGGGTAGATGCAGTTACCCAAATAAGTACCTTCCCTAAAAGTGAACGGGGCCTTAGGGTGATTATAGGTATTTGCTTCCATATCCATCAAATGGGGGGAATGCCACTCAACCAGAAATTGGAATGGAATTCAAATTCTTACCACCCAAATGGTTTGGAATTAGAATGGACCATTCTGATTTTGATTCCAGACCCTATTCTTGCGAATCAAACAACCATAACTTTATTTCTCAATTAATTACCCATAATAAAAAAATTCAAAATCGTAAAAAATAAATAAAGGGTAAACTTGTACTTAAAGAAAAATTTTCATATAGAGACTCTTCAATACTTTGAGAAATGGATTAAGAAAGATCTCTTTTCCTAAGCTTGATATGAAAAGCTTGCTCAAGAGACTTTAAGACTTGCTAGGGTATAACAAGAAGACGACTATAACCTCTTGTGAGATTTAGAATGCTACCCTCATGGTGTTGCCAGTAGGGGTCTGGGTGCAAGTCGGGCGGGTTAGGCCGGATTAATGGTAAACCTAGGGCTGGCCCTAAAATTTGGGCTTAAGGCCCAAGCCCGAGGTCAAGCCCGATTTTCCCAAAAAAAAATTGTGTTTTTCATATCACTATGCTTTTTCCCCTTTTTTAAGTTTTTATTATTAAATTGTGATATTAAGGGTTAGCATATTTGACTAAGAGGTTGAACCGTTGACCAACCACCAAAAAACAACTTCATTTTTGGGTCCATAGTAATTTTTATTTTATTTTCAACACCAATAAAAAACAATTATTATTTATTACACTTATTTTTCTTTTATACAATTAATATAAAATATTAAATATGTGCCTTTTTTATTTTTTGTATTTATTTCTATTTTAAAAGTTTTACTATTTAACTATGATATCGTATAGGTTGGATCATTTGACCTAGATGGTTGAATTGTTTATCAGCCATTAGGATGGAAGAACAATTTTGTTTTTGTGTTAGTTATGAAAAACATGGGTTTTATATTGTTAAAAGTATTAAATCTAATTGTGGATATATGGTTAAACAATAATCTAAATATAGAATTCAATGAAAGAGAATGGAAATTAATACCCTAACTATAAGAATTAATGAGGGGGAATTGAATGAGGTGAAAAGTATAATTTAAATTACATTTTCTACTCTCACAATCCAGAGTGACTAAATTTAAAAAAAAATAGGGGTATTTTAGTTAAGAGTGGAATTCATTGAAGGTGATGACAGCAACTACCTTAAAAACTTAATAAGAAGGAATTGAATGAAGTGAAAAGCAATAGTTCAAATTACATTTTCTTCCTTCATAATTAAAAGTGGACTAAATTGAAAATATGGGTAAAGGCATAGATATAGATAAAGGCTTCATTCATTTTGTGTTTCTCGGGTAATGTGTTTCTCCGGACATGTGATTTATGGGGGAAATGTTGCTTTGGTGCTTACAAATACAATGTTCGGATGGGGAATTAGTTATGTAGGTAAGGCATGATAAGAAGAGCATTTGGAGTTTTTGAAAGGTTGGTAAACAACTTAACCAATGTCTCGAATGTGGGGTTCTTGCAATTCCATGGGATCCACTGACTTACCCCATCTTTTTTGGAAAACAAACGAGGCCAAATAGATGATAGATTGGATGGATGGCTGGGTACATTAGATGGGTGTATATGGACTTACACAATATTATTAGATTGTTTGCATCTACTTGATTTAATCATTCCTCTTTCATTTGGAACTTTTTGAACAAGTTTTTTCTATACTTTTTCAACATTATTATTTAATGTCCTATTTTAAACCACATTTTTTCCCGCCATCTTCTTTTAATCCACATGATACACATTATATTGACAATTTTCTAACCTAGAACAAATTTGATTAAAACTATTAAGCTTTTATAAGAACCGACACCACCATTAAATTGTAAAAACTTCGGTGAAGAGTACATATTTCAGTTTGAAACTCTACCACTGCATAAATAGAGGTGTAAATCAGGCCATGCTGCCCGTGACCCGGCACGAACTTGGACCAGCTTGGCATGACGATCTACAGGCCGTGCTAGGCATGGCACGACCATGTGGGTCGTGCCACCCGCCGACATGGCCCATATATATTATATATATATATTTTGTATATAGTTATATAATATTATATAAATTATAAATATATAATAATATATAGTATATAATATATTAATAAAATAAATATATTTTTTAATTTTATTATACTAATTTATTTAATTATTGCATATATAAGCAATTTTCTACACAAAATTCATATAAAATTAAAATTTTAAGTTTTTTGTCAATTTTTTTAAATAAATATCTATAGCCTGATGCATGGCCCGACCTAGCCCAAGGCTCAACCCACGGGCCAGCCTGACCCGCAGCATGGCATGGCACGGCACGGGCCCGGGTCATGGGCCATGCCAGGCCGACCCCCAAAATTTTCAGCTGGGAGGGCGGCACGGCCTGCGGGCTAGCATGACACGACCCGCACTTTGCACGTGCCGCCCACGGGCCGTGCCATGCCAGCCCGACATGGTCCACTTTACACCTCTACGTATAAATCTATTGTAAGAATATTAGGTAATCTAGCATTGTAAGAGTATGGGTCTCAATTTTTGTTATCTTCTCATTTTGTGGAAAGATTACTTGACAAAAAAGCTAGCACACTGCATTGATTCACAATTAGAAACTATATATTGGCATGATTTGAGACTTCCATCAACCTTGGAAAAGAGCCAAAAGGTTATTGAAGTAAATATAGAAGACCCAAATTAAGATCCCATAGAACCAACAACTCAATGGTTAGATTTTGCTGTTGAAGCTTCATTACCAAAACACATACTTGATTTTAAGGCACAAATAAAGTTTTATTTATTGCTTCAGTCATATTTGAAATTCTCTAAAGACGGAAGGATTCTATAGCTCCTTGCCCCTCAAGAGCAAGCAATTACAGAGTCTATAGGCTTTAAATCAAAGTGAGTATCCCATGCATATTTGAACTGAATTGTGGTGAAACCATAGAAATATTCTCCGTTGTTTAAGAGGCAGGTGTTTCCCTCCTTTCTAAAGATAGAAGGATCAACTTCCTCAATAGAACTAAATCCTACACAACTGAATCTCACATTTTCCTGGGTACAAATACAATTGTTCTTTACTTCCACCTCAAATTCAGGTTTTCCATTGACTACATGTTCGGTTTGATGTTGGGAAATTACAATGCTGTTTATATCACAATGGCAACAACCTGCAAATTTGAGAATAAAGAATATATAATTAATCTCTAACTCAAATCAATAAGTAGGCTTAGGTACAAAAATTGGGTCTAGCTTACAAATTAGTTGGGCTTGAGTCCATGCATTTAATTCAAAATTAAGGGGGTGTTCTGTGGTTTGGATGAGAAATAGATGGGTGTGGACTAGTTCACACCACACCTTGTGGTAGGGACCAATCCACACCATACCACAGTCCACAGTTCTGAACTGTGGATAGATTGTGCGGACCAAACCAGTCCACACCCACAGTGGTGTTCTTTAGATACTTTTTGATTCCATGTATCTCATATACATTTTATGGGAGATTTACATAGTCGATCATAAATGTCCAACTTTTTCATTTTATATGGTAAATAAATTGAAAAAAAGGCATCAAAATGTAGGCAACAATTGCATTTTTTAAATAATTAAAAAATAAAAAATTAATATTTTAAATATTATTTTATTGATAAAAATATTAAAAATTAATATTTAAATAATGAAAAAAGAGTTGAGAAGGAGAATCGTCAGACTTGTGCTAGAATTAGCATTAAAAATTATTATTTTATTGATAAAATATTAAAAGATTAAATAAAATGAGAATAATTGGACAAATATAACACATGTGCGCTACACTGAAACCTTCACACAAATTGTCCACACCATAGTGCGGACCATCCACAAGAAAATGCTGTGGATGGGTGTGGCATGTCCCTGTCCACGCTATTTTGTGAATGATGACCGTCTACACATAGTAGAACACCATATCTTATTGTGAATGGGACCAAACGGTATTGTCCACAATATTTACACACTACTGAATGCCACCTAAGCTTTAAGAAAGGTTCCACGATGGACTTGTTCACAAAGGTAGTGCTCATTTGGTGGTTGAAAAAACTTATGCTAAAGTTGAGACCACTTAGGGGGGAGGGCTTGCAAAGATTGTTGAAATGGCAGCTAAGGCCCTGGCTAAATATCAAATTACCAATATTCAATAGTTAAGGAGGTTAAGGTGGCATTTGGTAACACTTTCCAAACGTCTAAGGTTTGAAAACTTTGCTTTTTAGATGCCATTGGCATTTGGGTTTAAGTTTGATTAGAGGTTCGAAACACAAATTCATGTCTAAATTGGTAAGACCTGGTTTCACGTTTTTTTAGAATTAGAGGCATTTCAGACATGATAAAATAACATTAATGCCCTCATTATTGACATCTATTTAGCAACAACAACAAAAATAAATATATTACTATTAAATAGTTATTGTCATAAAATTATAAATGATATATTTTCATTTAAATAAATAATAATATTTAGTATTAACATTTATATAGTAATAAGAAGAATATTTCATAATATATTTATTAGTAATAATTAAAATATGTTTTATTTATTAGTAGTTAATAATAATAAATAAATATTAAATTAAATAATAAATAATTACTTATTTAAAAAAATATAATATTTGTTTATTAATAGAATAATATTTTTATTTAATATTCTTTTTATTATTTATAATATTATCAAACAGTCCATTTCTAAGGGTTAAATAGTAAACTTCACAATTTCAGATGCAGGAGAATTGCACCAACATAACATTGGAAGATTTCATGCACCTAATGGAAACCTAGATGTGATTGACAAAGGTTGGTCTGAATTCAAGGCTCCTAATGGTAGAGAACATTAATTTGAATTGTTTATAATATTTCATGGGCTTAATAGGGTGGAGGCTAATGGGGGTATTCAATTTTTATTAATTCTTTTAATCAAGACTTCAAAAAGGGGATCTTAATAATTATGAGATTTAATGGTTGACGGTTGGAGTTCGGACATATGAGTGAGTTTTAGTGTCATATAGTGTTAGATGTTAACTTCGTTGTTTTCACTTATTGGGATCATTAAAAGTAAATCTAATGGTAAATCTAGGAAACTTAAGGGAATGTCCCTCCTCTTATTTTGAGGGTGTTTGAGGTGATGGGGATGACCTAATTGGGTATTGGATGTACATACAATGCCATATTTGTGTTGTTTGTCTTTGGAGTTTTAATCTTTCAATTTTAATATTCTAAGGTTTTGGGGTGTTTATATGAGTTTATTATATGTTCTGATTGGATGCTTGTCATGTGGATAATGTCAATTACATGTTTTGATGGATTTGTGTTTCCATGTTTGAATGTTTGAGAAGGGTGAGAGGAGATAGAATGAAGAGATCAAACAAAAATTTGGTATTGACACATATTATTACTATTATCATCAAAATATAAAATTGTCACATGAAAATGAAAACTCCTGCACATTTGCTAGTAGATTGAAAAGAATTTACAACACAATGGTTTTATATAGTTTAGAATTAGATGAAAATCATGCACAAATGCCCCTTCAAAGACAAGCCATTCAATTCAGTCTCCTCAGCCATTATGATCAAATGGCCCTGTAGTCATGGGGTGGACTTAATTCCTTTCCCATAGCCAGTAATGGCCTTGAGATAATTGGAACATTGTCTGCCTCTTTTATTCTAAGTTTGTAAATACATTCAAGACAAGCTTCCAATGTGGCAAAAGAGCTAGGTAATGGAAAAATACATTTATCAAAAGTTAAAACTGGAAATGATGAAACAAAATAGAACAAATGGAGGGGAAAACAAGACATTTTCCACTGATTTTTGTTGATTTTCTTAGTCTTTCAATTTGCTTGTAGTTGATAGCTTAGGGATATATTTTGATGTATATTACTAACATTTTTTCTCCACCTTTTCTTAGAAAAACTAGTAATTACAAAATGATAATATTAAAATAAAGGGGAGAATGAATGTGGAGAGACCAACCTTTTCCAAGAATGCCGAGTATGAGTATTGCATAGAAAAACTTGAGGGCAGCTGCCATTACTGGTAGTTCTCGACTTGACCTTTTGGTCCTCCTCTTGCCCAGATACACAAGAAATTGCACTTCTCAATCTATATATAGTTTCTCATGACACTAAATATTTGGAATAATGAAATAATAATAACTTTAGTACAAACTCTCTAATTAGATTCAACAGGTGTCTATATTAGTAAACTATTTGAATGTGAAAAAATAGGATTTCACTATGATACAGAAAAATTTATAGCCAACTAACCAGTATCATAAAAGCGGTGATCAATCAGGTGGTATTCATCAAAATTCACAGGGATGCTTTGAATGATAAAAGTTTTAGTGCCATTTCTTTATGGTGTCAGATTTTCACATAAGAATATCGATAAAGTAAAGAAAAGAAGGAGACAACAATCTGCAGAAGATTTTCTCTATTTTGATGATCACTTATGCCCAAGGCTCAAAGCATCAATGTAATACATCTGATATAGGGCATATCATATTCATATTCAAGGGGATTTAGACTTGGCATAAGTGGAAAGGTGAAAGTTTTTTATCTTAAAACTATTCCTCTCATGACCATGTGTATCATTTATAGTTCCTATGGGTTTGACCAACCAACAAGGATTATATTGACATGTATTTTGAATTTGAATTTAATGCTCATTAATTGCACCATTCAAGCCATTAAATTCCACCTTTTATTAATGGTGAACTTTTCAAATTTCAAATTAAGCTCATGAATAACTAGCATTAAATACAAAACCTTTGATAAGATTTAAGAGATGTCCGTATTACCAAACTAATTCAATATATATGAATATTGTTGAAGCAAAGGAAGAAACAACAATACGGAATACCTTTTGTTTGAGCCCGTTAGGGGTGGCCACAAGTAGAGCTTCTCACGAGCTATTCGAGTTCGGCTTGATTTAAATTGAGCTTCAAGCTGAGCTCAAGCCTAGTGAGGCTCGAGAGCCTAATCGAGCATAGTATAATAAATAAATAATTTTTTACATACATATATAAATATACATATACATATACATATAAATATATAATTATATATAATAAATCATTTTTATTAAATAAATAATAATATTTTTATTTTTATGTATAATAGTAAATAATTTTTATAATTCTTATTTTTTGTATGTAAAATTAAAAATATTTTTATATGTATAATTTTTATTTTTTAGAAAAAATTTGGCTAGAAATCAAGCTTAAGCTTGTACTTGCAAGCTTTGAGCTGAGCTGAGCTTGAGCTCAAGTTTCTAGCTTGAATCAAGGTTGAGCTTAACACTACTTTAGCGAGCCGAGCTCGAATAGCCAAGTATTTTCCTGAGCTTTGCTCGAATCCACCTCTTTTTTCCCAAGGTTCAAGATTTAAAGTTAATGATATGATAAATCTGATATAAGGCATATTGTATGACTCCAAATCTCCTGCCCACAAGAACTTTGCCTACGACTACCCACAATACACTACCCCCATGAATTGGAAACATCTCCCCCTACATAATACTATGCAAAGGATGAGATGTTCTCCATGTGTGGCTGCGATAAACGTGGACATGAGATCTGGACTCATATTGTATAGATAGCCTAGAGGATGAACAGGGCCACAAGTGTGTGCATCATTTGTATTGGTTGGTATTGATTGTATGAGTTGGTACCAAACCAATACTGACCCATATAAACAATGTATTTTGAAATTCAAATTTAAATGCTCATTAATTGCACCAGTTAACCCATTAATTCACACCTCTTATTAATTGTGGTACTTTTAAATTTGAAATAAAATCCATTAATGACTACCATTGAAGCCATTAATTGTGGATTTTCAAATCTTGGAATTTATTCTCTCCTTATTAATTATAGATATGGATTAAAAAAGGGAAATTGTCTAAAACTCACCATGAGTTTTCAACATTTCTCTTAAACCCACCACAAATGTCTAAAGCTCACCATGTCACTAACTTGACGTTAAACAGACTAACTGACGTTAATATATTAGCATTTTAACTTTCACATAAAAATATAAAATATATACAAAATAAATTAATGGGTGTTAATATATTACCACTTTAATATTTAGACATGAAAAAAGGAAAAATTCAAAAAAATATTTTCAAATATAAAATACATAAAAACATAAAAGTTATGAAAATATGAAAAATTATAGAAATTTCAAACAAAATAAAAAATTATTTTCAAATTATAAAAACTATAGAAATTTAAAAATAAAATCAGAAAATAAAAATTGTAGAAAAAACACCAAAAATTTATAGATTGTAGAAAATAAAAAAAATGTAAAAAAACAGAAATTATGACAAAACATTGGAAATTATAACAAAACATTAAAAATGCAAAAAAAAACAAGAAAAATTGAAAACTGAAAAGAACATTTTTCCTCTAACTCACCATTCAAGGGTCATTTGGTCATGAAAATTGTTATTTGTGCTGACATGGACACCTCTGTTAAGAAGCATTAACGGTGCACTAATGGAAGGTGAGTTTTGGAAAATAAAAACTTACTGACATGGTGAGTTTAGACAATTTGAAAAGTTGTGATGAGTTTAAGAGAAATGTTGAAAACTCATGGTGAGTTTTAGACAAATTCCCTTAAAAAAATATCATATCTCACAAGCAATTAGTAAGGGGTGTTTGAGATCATTTATGTTTCTAACGTCTAATAAGAAAAAAGACGTTTGAAATGGTAAGACTTGGTCTCATGTTTTACCAAAAACAAACACATTACAAAGGTGGTGAAATAATGATAATGCCCTTACTATGATCTATTTAATAATAAAAAGAAATAATATTATTCAATATTAGTTAATAATATTAAAAATATTATTTAATGATGTTGATAGTAATAATTATTACTTAAATCATAAACAATATTATATTTATTGAAATAAATAATAATATTTATTTAACAATAACAATGATACTAACCAATAAATATTATTATTAAATATTCATTATTGCTTAAAGAACACCATTTGTTCCAATATATCGGATGGTCTATACACTTGTGAGAATCATACAGACCCTTGTGGTTTATTGGGTTATAGGTGCATTTGATAGTATAACTACAACCAGATCATTTAGGGTGTAGATGTTTGCAACTATAAATGATGTTCCAAATTGCAAGTAATCATCCAGTCTTTTCAATGTCAGACGGGTTTTAAGCCTAGTACATTATCCGGTCTTCCCCATACAAGATGGTTTATATACCTATGAGAATCATATACAACCATGTGGTTTGTTTGGTTTTAAAGGAATTTGAGTGTGTTAGATCACCTGTGTAATTGATTATTTTAACTATAATTGATGATTCAAAATTGTAAACAACCATCCAACTTGTGTAATGCCAGATCATTTTTGAGTCTATAAAACACCATATGGTCTCCACTATACCTGATGGTCTATGTAGTTGTGAGAATCATATAAAACCTTGTGGTTTTTTAAATGAATTTAAGGGTGTGAATAATATTTTGTCACTTGAGTGATAGATATTTGCAATTGAAATTGATGATTCTAAATTACAAGGAGTTATCCAGTCTTTGTAATACCAAAAGGTTGCCAAGCCTATAAAACACCATTCAATATGTTTGTTGCTGGATGATGCCTAAATTTGTTGAACACCATCTAGTCTATTATATATCGGATAGTTTAGACTTTAGATCTATGAAAGGTAACCTAAGATTCAAACCCATGACCCCTAAATTAAATCACCACTAGACCATCTTTCAATGTTATTCAAGTAATTAAAACAATATAGTCTTTATTTAACTTGGGGGACACATGCAATTTAATTATATAATTTTATATATGTATTTCAACCAATAATTTAAAGGTTTAATTACTTATACATACCCTGTACATTTGAGAAACTACTTATAAATATGCGTTATTGACTTGCCCCACATAACATAAATAAGACCTCTGTCAATGCACCTTTTAGAGCCATTAACAACTTACTTCAAAGGTTTTTATAATACCAATTTTCCCCTTAAATGTACAAAATGTAGGCGATCACTTCTAGTTCTCTCTTAGGATATCTCTGACCTCAAACCTCTCCAGTTTCTTCTTAGGCGTGTTTCGTCTTCCATCATTTGCAAGTCCAAACTCCTCGCTGTTTTATTCAAGGAGATTCTGCACATTCCCATCACTATTATTACTCAAATCGCCATTATGTGCTTCCAATATTTACATTGTCTTGAACATACTCCTTTCTAAAGTCACACAATTGAAAATTTCGATGATTAAGGGTAATACATTGTCTTAAAATACCTTCAATTTATCATAATTCAATTCCTAAAATATCTCTAAATTCCCGTAATCCTATTTATAAAATATCCATAAATTAGATTATTTTAGGTGATTGTCTCAAGGTGAGCAAAATTCAAACTGTTCCCAACGGGAAATGAGGAATGGGTGCCCTGCTATGAACCCGCCGTGTAACTTTCCTACATACATAGAGATACATAGAGAGGCCAATGGTCAAAAACTTGTCATCTCACTCATGTTGCGTCCTATATGTGCAGCAATAAGTTTACAAGGGTTTCATTCTTTGATTTCTTCTCTTTTTATTGTTTGACTCTCATGGGTAATATGCAAATCATTGTTTTATGAGGTAAACTTAAGAAATTTGCATATCATTCTACGGTTCATCTTGCATTGGCTCGTATTGCCTCATGCTGTGTGCTTGGTTTATCGGAAAATAGGAAACAAACAGAAAGTTGAGGGAAAGTTCATAAGCAATTTCAAATGTTAGATATCCATAACGGTTAGATAGATGTATCCTTTTTGATGGTGTAATTGTTTGCAACAATTTAAAATTAATATATTATTAACCTTAAACTAAGCATCTGACCTTGCTATTTGCTTTGGAGATTGCTTATGATTATCATTTTCAATCTACAATTTCATCACTTCGAAGATGTAAAGCCCCAATCAAGTTCCTTCAGTGTCCAGGGGTTTTGGAAACAAATTCTAGCGTTCCAAAATGCGTAAGATAGAGTTGTAGAAGGAACCCAGGAGACCCTCATAGCCTCGAAAAAAATGCAAAAAATTTAGAATTAAATTCAAATAGAAGAGCTGAGTTCAAAGTTCAAACAATTGAATCCATGAATTACAAATATTGAGTGGATATCTATTTCATTTTGAGCAAAAGTTGAAAAAGTAGTGGGCAGCTAAGGACCCCGATAGAAAAGGGTAACTGACTAGCACTCTCCAAGACAATTATTAACAGAACCAGATTTGAGGGGAACGTATCCGTCTTCAGACTCTCTCTGTCTGCAACAACAGAGGCACACAAGAAAGCACCAAGCAAAGAACAGAACAGAGCCCAGCTGCGCATCTGATCTCTGTGTTAGCTGAAGAAAAAGATCCATCGTCTTGGATGATCCTTCTGTGTCTGTGTTGCCTGTGTTCATCAGTACTCCATCGTACTCTGGAAACCAAATGGTCTGGAAAGCAGGGTCGAAGAAGTCCTCCACGCCGTGAACGATCACATGCCCGTCGTTGTACAGGTTCCAATGCGTGATTTCGACACCATTGATGGAAGCTCTTCCGCGTAGTGAAGTGACGACAAGGGGATGCCCAGAAAGGAGGGTGTCGACCTTGGACCAATGGAGCTTCGGTGAATCCAGAACTTCTCTGTCCAACTTCCCCAGTGCAACGTGGTATCGTAGAAGGGTCAAAGGAGGTCCTGCGTACTTGAAGTTGGGGGATATGAAAGCTTTGTCAGAGGGGCAGAACATGGTGATTGTCTGATCTTTGTTGCCGAGGAATTCTTCTGGGATCATGGTGCTGAGAGCCATGTCACCATGTCGAGAGTCATGGACATGGTTACGTAATTAGCACCCGAGAGAGCGTGCTTGATCTTCTCGACTGGTATTACTTCTTGGGCTGGATGAGCAGCAGCAGCAGCAGCAGCAGCGGATCTGAGAATGGGCGAAACAGATAACAAAAAGGAGGGAGGGAAAGTGGGAATTGAAAGCCATTAGTGGGTGAAACAGATAACAAGAACGATTCAGATTCAGAAAGCACAATGCTGCTTAATTAGGTTCGGAAATATTAATAGTTGATCAAGAAGGTCTAGTTGTGTTCGGATTAGGAGTTCTGAGCCAATTACGCGGCAATGGGCAATCTGTTCTCACACGCTGTAACTTGTAATTAATTAGTTCTGTTCGGATTAGTAGGAGTTCTGTCTGAGCCAATTACGCGCCTTATTAATAAGGTGCATTACTCGCAGCGCAACATTTAACCGGCTTCACTAATAAGAAATTAGGGCCGAGTCAGAATTGGAATCCATCGCAATTGAAATCGGATCAAATGGAAATTGGAATCAGAATTCGAATTAGAATCATCTGGAATGGATTATCATTCTCAATAAAGAAGAAGAAAATAGGAATAGGATTCCGGTTCCATCTAACCAAACGGTTGAAATCAAGATGGATCATTTCAATTCCAAATCACTATTTCTGCAAACCAATTGGACCCTCACCCTTAAAAGGAAGGGATCAATGAAGCCCATCTATCTATAGGATTGTCAAAGGTTCGGTACCGGATCCTATTACACAGGGGTTTGGGTCTTGATTATTAATGGGTGTGGCTCCGGGTATGACCTGATTGAGAGTCGAGCCTGAACCCTTCAGTGCTTTATACATGTCTCTCGATGTTTATCTATAATAAATTCATATAAAATATGTTTAAAATTATTATTTTACAGGGGGAATATAAAATATTCTGACAAGAGAATGGCTGGATTTGAAACTAGGCCAGCTTATGTTTCAGTCCTGGAAATCCAGTCCGGGTTGGGCCCTAGCCCAGGTTATAGTTCTTATAACATGTGCGAAAGGCTGGCCTATGATCACCTAAGGGTGCAAATTGGGTATCTGATTTGAAGAATTTACGTTATGGAGTTTGGGCTTTTGAGCTGGACCTATTCAAAATTTAGAAAACTCCCAACCCAAGCTGAAGTAGTTGAACTGAATGAATTACTGGCTGAACTGAACTACCGTATTAGTTTCTCTTTTAGTGAATAAGTAATCAATTAGATTGTGAACTCTTTAATTTCTGAATGTCATGTTATATTTACCATTTTACCCCTAAATATTTTATCATATGACAATTTTTATCCGGTAAAAGACAAAGCAAATAAGTCATTCAGTTGGCCCACTTGGGCCATTTGATTATAGTTTTACTTGATTGGTGACTCGGGAGTTGAAATGGAAACAACTGCTGCTTCTGATATTTTGAATGAATGTGATTGCAGAGGGACCAACAGGAAATTTGATTGTTGGGGCCCAACAGGAAATTAAGCTGCCAATAGGCGTGAGGAAATCTCACCTTATCCACACCCCCACCACAGACCCTTCACTTCACCATCTTCTCCACCCCTCCACATCATCACCAAATCTGTAACTATAACCTAAACAAAGACAAACCCCATTAAAACACCATTGTTCTTCACCATTTTCCTCTACTTCAGTCAATTGAAGCCAATAATCCTCTCTTCTCTTCACAGTTGAAGCAATGGCAGCCGTGAACTCCAGTGTGTTGGCTTGCAACTACGCCATCTCCAGCACCGCATCATCCGATGCCAACTGGAAGCTTGCAGCCATGCCGTCTGTTGCATCATCACCGGTTGCATCGACCCCCAAGTTTCCAATGATCAAGGCCCAACAGGCTAAAGCTTCTGATTCCAAGGTAGAGAGAGGGAGCGAGGGTCGTAGAGCTGCACTTCTTTGCCTAGCGGCCGCTCTCTTCACAAGTACTGCTGCCTCCACCTCGTCTGCCAACGCCGGGATCATCGAAGAGTACCTCGAGAGGAGCAAGGCCAACAAGGTCGGTAGAATACATGGCCTCCCTTAGCTTATTATAAGATAATTTGAGTGATGATCTGTTTAAAGAATTAATCTCAGAACCATGGTTCTAGGATGATTTCTACCATGGTGAAATCATGGGAGGGATTAGGAAGATAGATTGTTTCTGGGTAGTAAAGCTTAATTAACTTTCAAACATCAATGGTGCCTACAGGAACTCAATGACAAGAAGAGGCTGGCCACAAGTGGAGCAAACTTCGCCCGTGCTTACACAGTAGAGTTTGGCACCTGCAAGTTCCCTGAGAACTTCACCGGCTGCCAGGATCTCGCCAAACAAAAGGTTTGAATAATGCTTTTCTCTGCTCGTGTTTATGTGTTTCCTAAGCAATTCCAATTTTCGAACTGGGTTTTAATATGTGCAATTAATTCTTTCTTTTTTTTCTTCTGCTTTGTTTGGTTTGCAGAAAGTACCTTTTATAAGTGATGACTTGGAGTTGGAGTGTGAGGGGAAGGATAAATACAAGTGTGGTTCTAATGTTTTCTGGAAATGGTGAACAGGCTGTCTCTCTGCTCTACCCCAACTTGTAATTAATTACTCTAATCAAATTTTCCAATTGAGAAACTTTTGATTCAATTGTTGTGTAATTCTCTGATTTCTCTTTCATATTCCACTGCTTTCTTGTTTTCTGTTAAATACCCAAAAATGAATTGTAGAGTGATAAAATGGATGAAGAACAAGAGGGGATGGATAGGTGATGGTCAATCCATTAATTTTCAGGAGAAAACTTATATCTTCTTGGCCTTTTGTTGGATCATTGACATTACCAGCTAACTTTTAACCACTTCAGAGTGATAAAATGGCATGGTGATTCTCAACTAAGAAACCTTGAAAGGACTATGTTAAAGCTAAAAGAAAATTTTGAGCTTTTCAATTAATGATGAGAATTTTAAACATAGGGCTATCTACAAATAGGTCTGGCTAAGTGGCTAGCTAGTTCAACCCTCTCTCTTATGTACTTAAATTTCTGATGGGGGATGGTGGGTGTTAGCAATTTTTTTATGTGACTGGTTAACTGATCTATGCATCAGAAGCATTCTGTATTCCTTTCTTACTAGGCCTGCGTTGCTGGGGCAAAACATGATGGTAAGTGGTTTGTCAAAGGTAAATTATTATATAGGAAAAAATTTGTGAAAGGTAAATTTTTAATTAAAAATTTATTGAAAAAAGATATATTTAAAATAAATAAAATTTATGGATAATAATATACTTAATTTAATAAATAAATGATAAATAAATAAATAAATAATCACGACCATCAAGCAATAGAGTGAAAGAGGGAGAGATGATTTTTGTCATTGTATTTTTGTTTTATATAGTGGAATAATTGTAAATAGTTAAATAATAATTAATTTAATTTAGCAAATAAATAAATTTAGTAAAAGAAATGAGATAAATAGACAATCAAGTGAGAGAATAAATATATATAAATATATACATGATCTATGTCTTACTTTGTTAGCAACAATAATTTGTTAGATTATTAAATTATTAACTAATTAAATAATTTAGTAAAATGAATAAATAAATAAATAAAACTTTATGCATTATCAACACATGATTGGTAAAGGCTATATCAAATTATTTAATTAACTAATTTAGCGCTATTAATAGGTTGGGTTGAACTATCGGGCTACTAAGCCCATGAATAGGCTTATCTTGGTTCATGGCTTGGTCTAACCTAAGACTTGGCCCGCAGACCAGCTAGGCCCATGGCATGGTACGGTCCCGTGCGGGCTCAGGCTAAAATAAAATTTTAGGATCTATTTTTAATTTTTGTCTATTTTTTAATTTATGTTAAAATTTTTATTATTTTTTCAAAATTAAAAAAAAACAACATGGCTTAGTCTGGTTCATGGCCCAGCTTGGATCACAAACCAGCCCGGCCTGTGGCATGGCATGGGCCTGCATGGACTCGGGCTGTATATTATATACAATAATTATAATATATTAATATATATAATTTTATTATACTATTTCATTTTATTATTGCATATATAAACAATTGTACACATCAAAATTTATATAAAATAAAATTTAAGTTATTTTTTATTTTTCATCTTTTTTTTTTAATTTATAAAAACATGGCTTAGCCAGGTTTGTGGTTCGGTAGTAATTATATATATAATTTTATTTTCAACTGTATACATCAAAATTCATATAAAACAAAATTTTAGGATATTTTTTAATTTTTTGTCGATTTATTCTAATTTATGTTAAAGTTTTCAATATTTTTTTTTCAAAATTTTTAAAAAATGTGGCTTAGCCCGTTTCGTGGTCCGACCTAGCCTAAGACTTAGCTCGCATGGGCTTGGGCCATATATTATACACAATAATTATATAATGTATAATTTTATTATCTTATTTCATTTTATTATTGCATATATAAACAATTGTATACATCAAAATTAATATAAAATAAAATTTTAAGATTCTTCAATTTTTTTATCTATTTTTAATTTATGTTAACTTTTTCATTATTTTTTCAACAATTTTAAAAACATGGATTAACTTAGTTTGTGGCTTGGCCTGGCCTAATAGTTGGCCCATGGACTAGCCCGACCTGTGGCATGACACAGGCCTGTGCGGGCTTAGGCCAAGGGCTATGCTGTGCCGACCCCCTAAAATGAGAGATAAAGATAATTTTTAACAAATATGAAAAAGGTAAAAGTTTTAGTGGCACCATTGTAAATAATTAAGAGTGGCACCATTATAAATAATTATCAAATATGAAAGAGGAAAAAGAAGTTATGATTGTTTTTTGTTTTATTCAATGGCATCATTTTAATTAATTAAATTTGTAATGGTAATGATTTAAAGCATAAAAAAAGATTATAAAATTTCATTTAGGTTATATAAAAATAGATTCCATTTGACAATGAACAGCAATTCACCACGCTTAGCATCATAGATATTGCAGATGTCAATAGCTAGTAAGTGAGAAATGCTTCTTAGAGCTGTAGTCGGGTTAGAATAAGATCCACTCATTCAGTCACATCCGAATTCCATCCGGTTATTAAAAATTAAAATCCGAATCAGATCAAAATGTGATATATCAGAAGGTGTACTGGAGAATGACCACCCTATTCTGTATTCTGTATGACACCCATTATTTATATTGTAAACTTTTTTTTTTTTTTTTAAGAAGAAGAAGAATAATTTATTAATAATTAACTAAAGAAAGAAAGGAGGGGGACATGATACCGATCCCTTTAAATAAAAACTAAGAGCCGAAGCAGAATGCAAAGAAAAAAAGAGTAACTTAAAAATAACGGCGGTGGTAGCCTTTGCTTATTCAAGAGGATCTACCAACATTTCCTGTGTAAGACATCTCCTGGGTCTTCTTGGGTTTAAAATTCTTTCCTTTCCCTTGCTTTCGATTGTCATCCAATCTTGAGCCATTTGTCTCCTTGTTGGGTATAATAGGTAGTTTCAATTGGTTTCTCACCCCACAAGATTACCTTTCTTTACGGGGTTGTCTACAATATATTGTGAATTTGGTTTAGTCTTTGTTTACCAAAAAAAGAAGCCCTCAGATTAATAACGTATTATTGCTGAAAATATTTTTGGTTGTTTAGGCAATCTAGACAATATGATTTTCTATTACATCCACATTAACAAAGTGAGGAATGGGAAAAGATAAAATTATCTTCAACTTCCAATCTGTAGTAAGAAACATGTGGTGTTCCTAAGGCTGTGTTTGGTTGCAGCACAAATTGTTCACATGGTTCAGTTTTACATCCATTTGTTTGTAACTATGATTTGCACTTGTACCTGATGCATCAGAAATTTAAATTAATTTTACATCTCATAAACTGATGCAATATTTGCACCACCTTCCTCCTATTTCGATTCACTCTCATATGCCATCTTGCTCCCTACCTCACTCCCAAACAACCAAATAGTTGATGGTCAAATAAACAACCATTTTACTTCCTATTATAATTTTCACAAACAACCCAAACAAGGTCAAATATGAAGTAATAGTAGACCAGAATTTACACTCAACTTATTTGCACTCCCTTTGCATTTGCACCAGTGCAAATTCTTTTGTATTCCAACCCAAAGCAGCCTAAATGTTGATGATCAATAGTTGATTGTTTGTTCTTGGAAGTAGAGGAAATCAAGTTGGATTTTCATTTAAAGAATTTTAACTACATCAAACTCTGTGTTAATTGAAAACTTAACAAATTACAGACACGATCCAAATATGATGAGAAAACTTTGGCTATCCACCTTCGACAGGCTGGGCTGTCAACGGGGCTCTCCATGCATGACACATTACATCATCCAGCCATGCATCCATACTGTTACAAAGAGACTTTGTGAACTAACATGGCCTGCCATCCGGGGGGGTGACCTGTTGATAGCCCAGGCTGTGGAATTTAGATAGTCAAATTTCACAGGTGGGGGGAGTTGTTTGATCAAAAACAATAAAGTAGTATTGATCAAAATTCACAGGGGGTTTTAATTAGTCAAAGATCCTCCGGTATGGTACCTTTTTCGGCATCAGTGGTTAACCTCCCTTTCTTTCTTTGATCTCTATTTATACATACATACACACACGTATTATGATGTATAGATATGTATATAAATATGCACGTGTACTTGTTAATGCAATTTTTAATCCATTATACTCCATAGTTGGCCATGAAGCCTAATACTGCAATTAAATACATTTAAACCCGATCAACCCGCTTCTCTAACTACCTGACCCAACCTGAGCCCAAGCCCAGCATAAGTTTTGTTAGGTTAAGCTTATGTTGGGTCAGGCCCAAGCTCAAAACTTGCATATTAATTAGGTTTGGCCTGGGTTTATCCTCAACCTTATACTATCTGTCCATGTTGCACCTCTAGTCACAATTAAGGGGTATTTGGACATATTGAAAAACATTTGGAAAAGAACATTAGTAATCAGGCTTTATCCCATTTGCTATTTGATAGACAAGGTAAATTCTGGACAGTGTTCATAAAAATTCACTTTCAACAATGCAACCTGAACGGGCCAAATCCGAGCCTGATCCAATCCAATTTTAGCTTTTGTATGGGCAAAAAACCTAAATTCGCGTTGGGCTTGGTTGTGGCCACAGGTTGCTGAAACCTAAACCAGTCCAACCCGAGCATACCCAAACAAAATATAAGCATATGTGCAACTACCACTGCAGATAAAGTGAAATCTATCAAAAGAGGGTGGCAAAAAGAGTAACTTATTGGATTTGTTTGCGCACTTACTAATTACTATTCTTGATGATAATGAGCAAAAAAAAAATACTATTATAGATTATCAACTAAGCTAATCTAGGTTCTTTTGTTTGACTAGGAAACTAATCAGGCAACAGGGTAACAAGTCTTAAAGCTGGTTTTTGAGATGAATTAGGAAACAATTAGTTATCAAATGATTCGAACACCCAATCTAATTTGAATTAGGAAACAATACGTTTCTAATTAGTATATGTTAGATTCATATTATTTAATGCTTTTCAAGAGGAAATCTACCCACGTGTCTGAAGGAAAAGCCCACCGGTGATTTATTTTAGGGTGCGTTTGGTTCACGGACAGGACCAGAATCGGAATCGGAATCATCTATTCCTGGCATCTGTTTGGTTCAATCAAGAATCAGAATCGGATTCTGATTC